TTCGCATGAGGTGTGGGGCAGTGATAAGGCTTGGGCGTTGAACATAAGGCGGCCCAGGGTCGTGTGGGCGCGCCAGGGAGCTATGTGGTGACATATGGGGTGTATGCTGGATGATGAGAGCTCGCTGATGTGACATATTAAGCCGAGGTGGAACCGCATTCTGCTGTTGGTTGTGCTGAGGCAAAGACCGGTCATCATAAATGCACATCAGGTTGCCGGTGAGAAATATGTGGTTGGGGGCAGCATTATAAGGTACGTTGCTCTCTTCCTTATCTACCCTCTTCATTATCTACCCTCTTCATTACTTATTACTATGAGGAAGTGAGTATGTCTTGAGAGTCCTCTCGATGTGAGTTGTCGCGAGCGCTCAACCTTGAGAGTCGACGTTCTTCCTGGGCAGCAAGCTGGTGGGAGACGGGCGAAGCCTCTGAAGGGCCCTGGACGAATCACTTCGGTCACGGTCACCATGCCAACCCGTTGGGACTAGTACACGTATGCTTTGCTGCAAGTCCTTGGTTCTGCTGCTTGTGCAATAGAGGTCATGCAGGGCATGCCAGCCCTTTGACAGACGCTTACCAGACCGTCTTTAAATATTTCTGGCGGGGACTCGGTGTTGACTCTGGTTGTGATCGTCGTCCTGTCTGCGACGTTAAATAATTCTTGAGGAGTTCGGGGGATCTCCTTAAATGCCTCCTGATCAGCCAGATCAAACCGGGTGTAAGGCTCGTTGCATGCGAGGGTAAATAATGTGCAGGGGCTGGGAGGTTCGGCGTTGACTTGGGGCACAGGGGTGGGCCAGATTGCACACCTTCAGACACGCTGCTCAACCAGATGCTCAGGGCGTCGACACAAAGTGACCACTCAAGAAGGATACAGGGGGAGGGGGGATTCAGGTAACTGTTCGCAGTGGCAATCAATAGACAATCTTCCATCAAGCATACATCTCCAACAGGAGATATTATTTTGATTATCTAGTTGTTACATACTTGCCTAACAACCGACAAACAACTGCAGACAGACTAGATCTTTGCTGCATAGCAATCTGTTCTAGGGTAATCAAAAAATAGATGTGATATTCCTGTAGGATCTGACATTAGTAGTTACTACATCACCTAACTGTTTCTGTTCAGTCCGACCGAAATTAGTTGTGATTCGTAATCAGTTGTGTGTCAGGCTAAGGTAGGATTCAGTGTGGATTCTAGTATAGATCACACACATTGTAGCTCATGAGTGATGCAAGCACTAGTGAGGAGTTGTTAGCGGACGACCATAGGACTACTCGTGGAACTGCTCGTAGTCGACCCTTGACTTTCCTAGAGCTAGGTCCAGGAGACGAGAGGAGACTGCGGAGAGAGGCTCGAGAGAGAGCAGCAGCAAGGAGAGTGAGGGTGGCTGAGGATAGTGCCAGGTCTAGAACTATAGCTAGCACCGGTACAACCATGGCCACTTCATCTACCATGTCGCAAACCTCTTCACAGTCCACTTCGTCAGGAGTTAGTTAGAGTGGTTCACAGGGGTCCATTAGCCAGACTGCTGGCTTGCGAGTCAACCAGCAGACTCAACTCACGCCGGAGGATTATGAAATCCTCCAAGCAGAAGAACTTCAGGATGTGTTACAGCGGCAATTGGATGAGGCAGCAGAGAGGAGAAGGAAAGCAATTATGAGGAAAGCTAGACTAGGCAGTAGAATGCAGGAGTTAAGCAGATTAGAAACGCTAGACGAGTCAACACTTGACTCTGCGATAAGAGCACTGCATAACGCGCTCTTGTGTGTGGCAGAGACGCAGGTAGTTCAGCAGGAGGTGTTGGCCGAACTAGTGGCAGGCCAAAAACAAATTTTGGCTGCAATGCGGGCTCCTAGTGGTCAGGTTCCTAGAGGCTCGGCCGTACCATCGACAACAGTGGTAACTACAGTCCCACTGTCAAGTCAGGCCCGGGTTAGTGTGGAGCAACCTGTTTCAGTGGCTATGCGGCCACTGTAGCAGGCACCTGGGCCCATGCAGCCTATGCAGTGGATGCCCAAGATACCCTTGCTGAGTCCTAAGCCCTTCTCCGGTGACAAGAAGAAAAACGAGGATTTGGATATCTGGGTAAGGACGGTGCCTACTTATGTGAGGCACAAGCTTACCAGGCCAGAGCAAGAAGTTGTTGTGGCTACCTCCTTTTTAGAGGGGTCAGCAGCCCGCTGGTTAAATGGCCTAGTGCAACAGCAGGGCTACGGTCAGGATATCGATGCGTGGGCCCAGGCCCGGACATTGGAACAGTTCGTACGGTCCGTTTACAACAAGTGGCATGACCCGCAAGGGGCTGAAAAGGCCACCTACGTGATCAACAGTCTTTGTGCCAGACTGTACAAGAATGTGAGAGAGCTCACGGATAC